GGGAGAATTGTCCTTCCTTCTGGGAGTTTCAGGGACGTGTACCATTAATTCACGCCCATGAGAAAGTTTTATTGTAATGATACACAAAAGGATCGGGGCGAAATGAAACTCTAGTCGCGATTTCAGCGAGGGATTATGAGAATATTTTGCGTGTGCGCATGGAGAAAAATGTTTAGTAAAAATTACGGAACTCACAATCCACTCACCGATTACGGAATCGACTCAGAAAATTTAAGTGACGGTATCGCAATTTTTCACAGGAGATTCAGATAAAAGTAACGGAACGCTCCGGAAAAATTCCGTGACAGTTCCGTAAAATTTCCTACAATCACATTTCGCTTCAGAATTACGGAAAAGATACGTCATTTTTATTGAATATTTCTCTGCGTGCGGAGAGGCATTTGGATGAAAATTAGCTAGAAAATCGCGGCAAGTTTTACTGTACGAGCAGTCATCGATCAATGAAATGGAGATTCAATATAAAGTGATTTTTGCGGATGTTCTCTGTAGCAAAATTTCTGCACATTTTCGGGGCATTTTTTCACGAAACAAATTCCGTAATAAATTTTTTTTCTTAAACTCCTGAAAGGGAACAATTTGTCCTTGAATATTCTATAATACTTTCGGAATAGAATATAAATAAAAACATGATAGCTCATAATATGAAATTATTGATGAATATATTCAAAAATGATTTTTAAAAAATTTGCTTCGAGATTTTTTTTTCGTTGAATTTTCGGTTGCAAAAAAATTGAGCCTCTAATTTTGACAGGAATCAGATTCTCAAGGAAAAATTATCATCTGCATCTTCTCTATTTTATAGATCGGCATCAATCATTACTTTAGTAATATTATGAGGAGTTGCATCTTATAATGATCAAGTTTTTACGTGTCTTCATTGAAATTTGAAAACAATATAATAATTGGTAATTTTAATTTCCCAATTATTAGTTGATAAAATAATTTGGAATTTAAATATTAAATTGATGATTGATAAAATAATTCAGAATTTGAATATTTAAATTGATAGTTAATTCAATAATCGAAAAAATGGTGAATAATATTAACAACTGACTTTCTCAAAATTTAACTGTAATTAAAAATAATAATTATTCCGATGTCTGTTCTATTTTTCATAATTAACGAGCGAAAATTGGTGATCACATTTAAAACCGATTTAAAAAATATATGTTTTGAGGATTTTTTTTCATTAAATTTTCGATTGAAAAAAATTGAATCTGTCATTAGACAGAAATCATATTGTCGAGGAGAAATAATGCAAAAACTTTTTTTTCAAATTTCCCTCAGAAAAGAAAGAAAGAATAAAAAAAAATATTTAATGAAAACAATTTCCCAGCGCCGAAATAAAATAGCTTGCGCTTGAATATTCCAACACTTCCAGAATAAAATACAAATAAAAACATAATGGCTCATAATACGAAATTGCAATGACGAAGGAGAGGCGATATTAAGTCATAAAATGTTTAACGACCCGCGAAAAATAGCCCAGAGGGTGGAATTCCTGAGGGAGAGTTATTTAATCGCTGACAAGTTTACCAACGACTCAAAAACAAAGAGACATTTAAGTTAGGGAAGGATTTACGAGTTAGAGTGGAAAATTTGTCAACAGCCCCTGAAGTGGGAAAAAGAGAGGATCAGAAAGGGAGGACGAAAGGTGACACTAATGACGGAAAATGTCAGGGGGTTTAAATTCTCTTGGAGAGTTGGGCAAAAAAATTTTCTGAGATATCAATTGAAATTTTCATTAACGAATAAATTTTAAAATGCATCTTCAAAAAAAACTATTTAAAAAATTGAATACGTTTGGGATTTTTTTATCTTAATTTTCGATTGCAAATGAATTTGAATATCTAATATTTAAAAATAATGCAAAAACTAGTACTTTGAAACAAAAATAAAAAATCAACGAAAAAAAAATCTTTAAAAATGTCTCATCGTCGAAATGAAATAATTTATGCAACAAACAACAAATAAAAACATAATGGCTCATAATAAGAAATTTAAATTACGAAGGAGAGGAGATATTTCGCCATAAGATATTTAAAGATCTGCGAAAAATTGTCCAGAGGGTAGAATTACTGAGGGGGAGTTATTTAATCGTCGACTGGATTACCAACGACTCAAAAACAAAAGAGACATTTAAGTTAGGGGGGGGAAGGGGTTACGAGTTAGAGTGGAAAATTTGTCAACAGCCCCTAAAGTTAGTAAAAGAGAGGGCCAGAGCGGGAGAAAGAAAGGTGACACTAATTACGGAAACTGTCGAGGAAATTGAATTCTCTTGGAGGGTTGAGCAAGGGAAAACACAACACCTTTGAAATGTTCTCGAGTTTCTTTTACAACTGGGTTGGTGAATTTTTCTTTGAAGTGACCCTTTGTCACATCCCACGAGCCATCGTCAACTCGAGTCTCAAAGGGATACAATTCATAATAAAACAGCGAGCAACGGATACTTCCGCCTGGAAAATGTTTTGCTTTCTCATCAATTTTTATTCCCTCATTCATTTTTATTTTATCATTTTATTTTGGTCTTTCGCTGGGTAATTGCATGCTACTGTTGTTGATACATAATGATACTTTGAGAAGAGGGGCGATAGTATGTGCATAGAATCGATCGTCAGCTGTGGCGAGGCTCAAATTCATGTATAAATGAATACAACCAACGGTCGATTTGTCGGTGTTATTATGTCCTATCTTTCTACCTCTTCAGACGTCCAATGCACTCACAATCATCAATTTTATTGGAACAATAGCCACAAAATATAACAGGAATGATTCAGTTTTAATTGGAAAACAATGATGAAATGGAAAATTTTTTATTAATAACACAAGCATGAAGTGTTTCATGTCATATCGGTCAAGTACTGCTCCTCAGTCTCTCGAAAGTCAACGAGAATCTAATTAATTCATTTCAAAAGTGCGGCTCGGTAACCGGATAGTGACTTTAAACTTCTTTGAATCAACTCATATATTAATATGGATGTCCGCGTAAGTGTACGGTACTGCCCAGTCGGCACCTTCCTCCTTAAGGGAAAATTTAATTCTCATCACATTAAGGTATTAAATTAAATTGAAAACAACAGTGGCAAGGTTTTTTAAAAGTGAATTTTTTCATTCGTGCAGCGCAAGATAAAATGTGAAAAATACAAGAATAACTAGAAAAAAGAATGACAACAATCGTAAAATCGTACATGGAAACAGTGAAGTGGGAAGAGAAGCGTGCGTATCAAAAGGATGAAAAAGCCATTATTATCTCTGAGAGTGAATAGAATAGCTCCATCGTTTGGGAAATCAGACACTCAGAGTGTAAAATAACTCTTCATTCTTCGTCCCATGGGAAGGGGAAAATAATGACCGAATTCAATCATTCTCCGTAAATTGATTTCCATTCTTCGGCCGCTGTATTACTTGATATTGTGTCTGCATCAGGAATTAAAGAGGTCGTGTGCCAGCCAAATCGCAGGCAATTTGGTCGTTGTCGGGTCAACGATGCGATCGAAGGAAAAAAATTGAATTGTAAGAAAAAAGGAGAGGAGCATTTCCATCGGAAAGCATTTGAGTCAATTTACTGGGTTGAATTCTTTCGCTTCAAGTGCCTCGAAACTTTTTTTCCCCTCTTCCTGATGCTATTGGATATTTAATATTCAACGGGGATTCCGATATTGGCGGCGAAATTACGTGCCAATGATTTTATACTACTTGGGTTTATTCTTTTCTTTATTGTTATGTAATCCTTTTATCTTCATCGGGTTGATGATAGTGAGCGGAATGTTGAGTTAAATCAGGTGGAGGGATGATCAATTTCTTTTGTTGTTTTTTCTCGTCGTCTGTGATGAAGTGAATTTAAATCTGGAGGATGAAATTGGACTGCTAATGATGAAGAATTATAATCTTTCTTTCTTGGGATTTCGATTCGACGGATTGAACGGATTATTCATTACTTTTATTTATTTATTCATTTATTTATTTACTTAGCTATTCATTTGTAAAATAGTCAAACAACTGCGGTCAATTCGATGACTTCAGTAGTAGGTGAATAAACTCAAATGTAGTCTAAGTTGTTTATGGAAAGATAGTAGTAATGTGTAAAGTAGAGAATCCAGTACTGAACGACAAGTTTCATAATTTACATTTACCAGTGAATCAAATGAATCATTGAAGATACACTGTTAACAAAATTTGGATGAATTTACCGGAAAAGCAGCTTAAATTCGATTTAAGGGGAACAAGTCAATGGAATGTCAGACTTCTTTAAAAATTCAATTGAATTCACAATTTTTTAGCGATAGCAAGAAAATTCCACAATTTACATGTATTTTCAAGTGAAAATGAATATTCACTGTCCAAATCCCATAAAAATCGAGGAAATTCTTTTAAAATTTTCGAAATTTTGAAAATTTCTGAGCGAGTTCCCTCAAAATTCATCGCTTCTGACCGAAGAATACGGACGGGGCCCTTTTGTTTCCAAGCGTGGAGTACGCTCGATACAAGTAAAATGTAATGACTTCTAATCAACGGAAAATTATGAAACCAATATGTAATTGAAGCTACAGTATTCCTTTTTTCGTTGTTATTCTTTGGTTGAGTTAAATTCCATAGTTTTGGAAATAATAAATTTTAAAGAGAGTCAGTCATATTTTCATGGGTCAATGCATGGCATTGACCAATGATTGTCCGAAAGCCAATTGCAGAGAATTCTCAAATTCACCTAATTTAATTTCCACATACTCACTTCTGACCCGAGACTATTTTCAAAAATTGATATGTTGGGGAAATGATGAATGATTATAAGTAAGGAGACAATGGGAGAAAGAAAATTAATGCATCGCTTGAAGTGGTAAAACATAAGACCTAAAATAGAATGCAACAATATTAAAAATCTTCAATCATTTCGGTGAAAAATTATCTCATTTCTTCAAGAAGAAGCCAGAAAACATTACATTTTACCACTTCAGTCCAAGAATCACTTATCGTATCACCAATTTATTCATCTCTATTTCCAATCTCATTTTTTACTTTTCCGTTCACTCCAAAATTGATTCACCTCCTCCACAATTTCCGGCAAATGTTTCAACAGTTCCTCCTTAGGTGTCTTAAACTCTCCGTCCAACCAAATTTTCTTGAGCCTCATCATCGTCTGTCCAATCAATCTTGGGTGAGGCAGTAGATCCCTCAGATCATTACCGTTGAGTGGAAACTTTGGCGGAATCCACTTCTCAAATTGTTGCGCAAGTTCTGGGGTACCTTTGTACTTGAGTACCTCGGCAATGTACTCACGAATGTCTTTGATCTTGCCGGTTGAATTGAGGACAATGTACTGATAAGGATGGAGGGGATTAACTGAGATCTTATCCTCCCGGTGGATGATGAGGAAAAGGGCGAGATCGCGGTTGTAGGCGGACCAGTGAAGCCTCGTGTGGAGGTTCATGGCTTCTTCCTCATTTCTCAGCATCGATGTGATCATCGTTACAGGGTGTAATATCACTCCCTGGGACTTTGCTCTCATGCAGATTCTCTCGAAATTCTCCACATCTGGGGTCTCGGGTAGACCTATGTACTTCGTCACTCCACATTCTATCATCTTTTTGGTAAGCTCTACGCCATAGTTTCCCTCCAAAATTTTATACCACTCCGACCAAATTCTTTCACCTGATATTCTTTCTAGCCCCTCGACGTTCTGCTTTATTGCGGTGATTACTGAGTCTTCGTGGGCGTCTGGGTGCTCTGATATTCTACCGTAGAATCTGAAGTATCTGGGGACGGAATAATTAATGGAATTTGCGACGAGAACTATTTATAGGGAGCATTTCAGAGATTGGGAGAATATTATTTTGGATATTATTTTTATCAACATTATTTTATTCCACTTATCTCCGGAATTCTCAGTTTTGGAAAATACTATTTTTTTTTCCAAAAATCCTGTAAATTGTAATAATGATTTCGAATTTTTCTCTTAAGATAATCTCAGATTAATAGAAATCCCTCCTGGAGCTCGGGAAAATTCAATAGTTTTTTCTTAAAGATAATTTGAGATAAAAGTTTTTAGTGAACTGAATTTATTTTAAGTGAAAACAAAATGAATGTAAAATTTGATATCACAAGAGTTTATGCTCCTGGTACATCAATGTTGATGTCTCCTCGGTCGTAAGTAAATTATTTAAATTTTATTTTCCTCCTGAATAGATTTCGTTAAACTGGACTTTGAGATCAATATAACTTTTTTATTAATGAATTAACAATTTGCTTCTGAAGGGTACATTGGGGAAAAATATATACCAGTCATGAAACCTTAATATGATCACTAAATGTCCCAAATGTCTAACATGAGCTCCATATACGCTGAACATTGATTAAACCTTGACGAAAAGTCGGTTAAACTCTGATTAAACTCCGACTAAACGGTTTTAAGGCTATAACTTCAAATCAAATGATGCGATCGCCACTATCTTCGAACTAGACAAAGATAACATGCAAACGAATATTTGAAGCCATAATTAAAAAGATTTTGACGATTATTTTTTAAATGATCGTCGAAAAAATCAATTAGAAAAAAAAATCTCACATACATACATACGGACATGATCTAAAAACATTATATTTGAACTCCTGCGACCAAATTTCGTCATCGTCACACAAAAAAATGGAAATTTCAGATTTGACGAATACAATGCGGGGCTCGCCATCAATATTAAATTTCTGTAATATTTTCTGTATAATTTTCATTTGAATAAGCAAATCACCTCAAGATCCTCAAGAAATCCTCACAAATTCTGGTCGCCGCATCCCCAACGAAGGCCACCCTCCTCTTCTGCAAGTCATCGTAGCCGAAGAAATAATCATAAACCCTCCCCTCAAAATCCAAAAACATGGAGTTGATCGTCAGATCCCTCCTGTTGGCGTCTAGCTTCCAGTCTGTCGTGAACTCGATGTCTGCGTGTCTCCCATCAGTGACAACGTCAATCCTCAGAGTCGTCACCTCAAAATTCTCCTTGTCATTGATCCTCGCTGTGACAGTTCCATGTTTCTCTCCCTTCATATTCAGCATTCGAATCTCTTCCTTCGTGAACATCGCCTTCATCTCGTGTGGAGTTGCTGTAGTCGCAAAGTCAATGTCCTTGGGCACCTTCCCAGTGAGTAAATCCCTGACTGCACCCCCGGCAATCCTTATTTCATAATTGTACTTCTTGAATAAAGACGTGAGGAGCTCCAGTTCTGGGGTAAAGATAGATTTAAACTCTGGAGTTTCTAGTTTCGTGATTACTGGGTCACTTCTAGACGGCGGCATCTTCTCCGTGAAATTTCTTATTCTCCTCCACTTGAGGGACGATGTATTTTCGTTGAGACACTGCAATCAATTATTTTAAGGTAGCTCTATTCTTATGGATCGAGTCATTGAGTGTATTCACAAAAAAGAAATTCTGAATGGAAAGGGAGAGTTGTATCATTTTTTTATTTCTTCAACGAACAGTATGAATGAACAGTTTTTCAATTGACTAGTTTGAAAATACTCGTGGAAACGGTGTACGGTGTATGTGAGAGGTGGAAGTTGTTGTTATTTCTATTTCTGCTCTCAGTCCTCGGCGATTCTGGACGGATATTGTCGATGATAAAAAAAATTAGACGATAAATGAGCGGAAAAAATTTATTCTGCAGAAATCTCTGCGCTACAATTTTCCACGTTTTTTGTTTGTCTTTTTCTTAATGAAAAGAGGGGAATAGAGCGGAAAAAATTTGAGCCCAAAAAAACATTCATATCTTGTCTGACATCTTTGCTACAAACTCGGGTCATCAACTCTGGTTTTCAGTTGAAATTGGAATTGTTAATTTACACAATAATAGGAGTGCATTGACGATTTTTTCTTAACTCGCAAAAATCTTCAAACAATTTGCTACCGATTGGTGATAAATTTTTTTGGAAATAATGAAATAGGGGGGATAACGCCTTTTTTTTCAGGGGTGATTTTTCAAAAATTTATTTTAAAAAAAGTACTAACTAGCAAATGTTTTTTATTAGCTCGCAATTTTCTTCAAAACTACTTCAATGAGGAAAAAAATAAAAATTTGGAATATCTATACATGAGGGGCTAATTGATCGGATCTTAATTTGAGAAGTTTCTTGAAATTTCGAAAAATTGAAGGAATTTCTAGAAATTTCGAGGAAATTCAGGGAGTTCATAGGAAATTCGAGAAAGAAGGAAAGACCATAGATGTATCCACGTACAATTACAGTTGTATCGAAGGTACAGCCGCCTGCAATTTTTAGAAAGAAGAAAAGATAAAATTCTACAAAACAGTTTTCCTACAAAAGTTTTTCTATAAAACAGTTTTCATTGACATTTTCTATTATCAACTCTCAAATAGAACCGACGAAAAATTAATAAAATTCAACAGAAGTTGAATAGAAATCCAATAGAGTATTGCATCGAAATCGAGTAATGGTTTTCCACAGAATTTCCTTCGTGCGAGGGGAATAACCTAAAAGAATTGATGGGGTTGTTAGTGTCATACTTACCCGGATGTGTACACGTCGAGAGAGAGACTTTATTTGCCTGACGAACAGAGGAAGAACTATCATTATCTCTGGGTTCTGATTGTTTTAACGATTTTTATATGCAATTAAATACCGGTGTCACGTCGGGATCGAACAGATGTGCATGATTGCGAGAGGTAAACATTTATTGGGAAATCACTGGAGGCGTCCTCTAGTAGGGATCATTCGAGTGTTGTTAATATCATTCGGTAAATGAGGAGTTCTTCATTATCAGGGGTAGATTACATGAAAAAGACTGTCTTACCATCATATGGTGGGAGATTACTTCACATTGCACTTCAACAGATGACTCTAGTATTTAAAATTTTGGGATTGAGGTCCTCGTGAAAATTTAGAATTGATTTTTCACATTTTTATTTGCTTTTAACTGAAGACTCAAATTTTCAATTTTTTGTGTTTGGGGGAGACTGCACCGAAATTTCAAAATCGCCGAAGCCTTCATTTATCATGCTGATGAAAATTGTTACTGTTGAAATCAATTGTTGACTATTAAAAAAAATTGTAATTTTATAACACATTTGTCACACATTTGTATGAGAAAACTAAAAAACTCAGCTTATAAAAATGCATTATGACGGAACTATACGAATACTGTAGCAAAATGTGATAAATTTATGGAAAAGTGTACTAATTTTACTGGATGATCTGTTAAATTTCGTGCAGCTCATGGATTTATCATACTTTTGATGTAATTGTATAATGCGTAACCATCATTTAAATAAAGTAAGAAATTTTTTGAAATTTCATGGAAGATTATAGTAAGTCTCATGAGTGTGACATTGAATCCAATTTAGGGAAAAAATGGTTATGAAATTTCAAGTTTCAAGTAGAATGAGATGGAAATTTCACAACTTGATTGAATTTTCAGTGGAACATGAATATTTAGAAACAAAATGACATGAATTTTTAAAAATTTCCCTGAATTTTCACAGAATAATTGTACTGAAAAATCAAGTATTTTGATTTCCAGACCATTTGAACAGAAAATCAATGGAATAGTTGATTTTTCAATGACAAGATTTCCTGGAATTGCAGTGGAACTTGAACACGACAAAAATTCCCGGAATTTGGCACGAAAAATTCAGAGGAAAATTTTTAACAGTATAATAAATTCATCAGCATGATAGACGAAGGCACCAGCGACTTTGAAATTTCAATGCGGCCTCCCCATCAAGAAAAAAGGGTCGCCAATTTTCTTCTTTGCAGTCTAACTAACATCTCCAAAAAAATCAGTCTACATCGGACAAAAATTGTGATCTAGGAGACATTTTCCATGCGAAAACACGAAAAATGAAGTTTGACCATGAAATACGGGGCAAAATGGTTCGAATTAAAAATACGGAAAAAAAATAAGTGACTTTGCAGAAAGAAAATTATCATGGTTCATGGTGTGAATTTACTTCGTATTCCCTAGCACTGCAAAATCGTGCAAACATGATTTGCAAACTGCAAGAAGTGGTATTTGTCTCTCGAAATGAGACGCGTCGCAGATCGAACGATCCTGGTTAATAATGTGCGAAAATCTGGTGTTTAAATATAAACTCACTTGCGAGGTTCAGTCCTCTAGTCCGTTACGTGCACTCGTCAGGTTCTCCTGAAACGAGAGAAAAAAAAAATGGAATAAATGTCGGGAATTCTGCGCACGTTCATGAGGAATGAGAGGTGGAGGATGTCGAGAGGGATTGCTGATGAAGAGAATGGGTTCACGGTGAATTATGAATTCATGTTCTATCTCTCAGAAACCGGATAATAATTAAATAGGCGTTATTTGAGGGTTCAAGGGGTCTGGGCTGCAGTTGATATGCATCTGTATTATTCAGGAGTGTGTCCTCGGGTTGTATTTATAGGGAGGGGGACGAGATTGATGCCCGAGTGGTTAAACGACTCGCAAAAAATATTTGAAGAAAATTGATACCAGGAAGTAGGGAAAGTGTATACAACCGAAGAAAAAATTTCTCGATTAGAGAGACGATTAAATCAAGTCGAGGAGCTACTCAAGTCGCTATTTCAAGTAGATTTAATCGACTTGGATCGAGTATCTACGAAAAATGTCGAGTCAAGTTGACAAATTGATTTGAGTGCAACTTGACTTGAATCAAGTATCTTTCCGACTTATATCAGGTCTCTTTGATACTGAAATCAAGTATCTTTAATACTTGAATCAAGCAGTTTGGAGTTAAATAAAGTCTCTTCAATACTTGATTCAATGATTTTTCCTACTTGAATCAAGCATTTTTCCTACTTAAATTAAGTATTTTTAATACGCGAATCAAGGATTTGTCCTACTTGAATCAAGTATCTTTCCTACTAGAATCAAGTATTGTTTCTGTTTGGATGAAATATCTTTCCTACTTGAATCAAGTAGAATGAATACTTGAATCAAGTGGCGATCTACTTGAATCAAGAAACCTTTCTCGACTTGAATCAAATAGGCAGATACTTGAATATTTTTTCTACTTGAATCGAGTAGAAAAAATACTTGAATCAAGTCGCGATTCACTTGAATTGAAAAAAATTATTTTGGGTGTAATAAATCATAAGATCGGTCTCAGCAATCTTATAATTATTTCAGTAACGAGTCCATCTAGACGAAAATGTTATAAAACCTGTTTGTAGATGATTAAATTTCACGTAAAAAATCAAGAAGTATTTTGTCCTGTAATCACTTGATGTCGCGACATTATTCATCATTTAACAAAACACAAAATTTTTATTTTTGTAAATTTTGAGATTTCGTTGCATAGAATCCATTGGAAACAATTACACTATTTAAAACTAACAGAAAAACGGTAAAAATCTATATATTCATGGTCAGATACTGCATCAATTCCTCAAAAAAAACGTTTGAATAAATAAGTGGAAATTAATTCAACGGAATTAATTCCCTCGTCCATAAGCAAATATATTTATTCATTGAATTAATTCTGAATAAATGAAAGTGGTCAAATATCAAGTAAAAACGAGTGACGAGTCAATTAATCAACAGAATTAAAAAAATTAATATAAAGAAATGGTGAAAACGTAGTAAAAATCAACATATTAACGTTCCAACACTTCATCAACCCTTCAAAACTCCATTCCAATAACTGAGCGAAAAATAATTCAACAATTTAATTCCCTCATTCGCTAAAAAAAATTATTCATTCACTGAATTAACGTCAAATGGAAACGACAGACGAGTCAATTCATCAAAAACAATTAAAAAAATTAATATAACAAAATCGTAAAAACAATAAAAATCAACATATCGATATTCAAACATTTCATCAATCCCTCAAAAAACCTTTCCAATAAATAACCGAAAAGTAATTCAACAAATTTAATTATCCCGTCGACGCAAAAAATTATTTATTCATTGAATCAATTGCGAATAAATAGAAGTGGTCAAACGTCAAATGGGAACGTTTGACGAGTCAATTTATCAGGAACACGGACACAGGTCGTCGTGTGTTCAGACGAAAGATGATCGATCGTCGCAGTTTCTCGGTAGATGAGGTGGTTTCAACGAGCCGAAGGGGTGGGGGGTGGCGGAGGGCTAGGGGGGGAGGGCTATAGCATGATACAAAGTGGAAGAGAGAGACGACGAACGTGCGAGACACGGAGAATTGGATAAAGGGAAGGTACGTGTGTGGGTTTTCGTTGTAAAACGGAGTGACTACGGGGCAGGATAAAGGGTCCGTCCTTATCTGCAGATAGCAGGCAGCTCTCCAATGCTCCCCCCCCCCCTGCGCTACACGGTTCCGTCCTGCGCCCTACGGGTCTCCATACAACCGAGGTTGTAATACTGTGGCCAACGGGTGCCATGATGAATCGGCCATATTGCCTCCACTGCCCGCCGGGGTTACCATAAAAATTTGTCAATATTTTTTTCATGGAGTTGGGTTAATTCGAAGTTCAATAGATGACAAAAAGTTGGATTCGATTATGTGAACTTTTCGATCGAGGTGTTGAGGAGGGGGGAGGGATTTTGCGATTAATTAATTATAGGGGTGGTAATTACGGGGATTTTTTAATGAAAAACGCCATTTTTTATTCGGGATATTTTTGGCATAATTCATTTTGCTTGAGAGTGAAATGATTTTTGGTAATTTAATATGAGAAATCTATTGATGCTCTTTCATTATGTCCTTTTTCCTGTCGGATTCGATATTACTTTTTTCAATTAATTGTTTATAAGCATTCTCATTGGAAAAAGCAATAGGACCGATAAGAATCATATCCCAATTTATCAGCTGTTTAATTTTGATATTACAATGAATGATTTGCTCATGTTGTAAATCCTATGTTCACTGAATAAAATTTTAATCATAATTACAATTCAGTAGCGAAGTGGTAAAACGGTACAAGTCAATTTTGACTACTGATCAGTTTTCAATGAATATCTCGGAATTTAAGGGAGCTAGTAAAATTTTTGTTATAATCTTTTTTGTAGAGCCGATTGAGAGCTACAACAAATGTAATCGTGAAAATTTCGCTATCTTCCTTACATTCGAAAATATTCATCATAAACTCAACTGGGAGATAAGTCAACTTAAACCGTTTTACCACTTCGCTACTGAATTCAATTCTTTCTAGAATACACTTTCGAGTGTGAATTTCGGGAATTCAATGTTTATTGATACTCTAGTAAAAGTGTGTGGCCACACTGTTATCAATTTTTAGTTAGTTCACACGGTAATTCAATTAATCTGTTGTTCATCTCATGAATATAATTCCGAATATTCAGTCACAGCTTCATTTTATTCATATCAGAAATTTTGTATTTGGATATTAATATTATTTGTTCAAAGAGAAAAAATCGATCATCATTTTCACAATATTGCATTCAGATTCTGCTATCCTTAACGTCAAAAATGTGAGATGATCTCATAATTCTAGCTATTAATTCTAATCAACTTGTTCGAAGAAAACCTTAGTAAACGCTGTATTCAGAAAGTAAAATTATTCCATTTTCCTCTAATCTAAATAATTTGGATAATTATGATTCGTTTGTTCGTGTTTCATAGAATGGTATTCAAGACGATTGTACTCGTGAAAACCGCCTTACTTTCTCCATTCGTTCGAGACATCCGCCATGTCCGAGTTCTAATTTTCAATTCGAGATATTGCCCATACT